GGGATACGGGGGAAGTCGTGAAATAGGAGGAAAAGGAAGAAAGGACGGAGGAGAAAATGAGGTGACGCGCGGGGAGAGAGACGGAGGGGTAGATCGGAATCGAAATGCATCGTGAAGGAAGACGACGGCGACGGAGACGAAAAGCCGATCCTCTCTCTGGAAATGGCCGGCGACCAATTGTCCGGCGAGGGACAAGATTCTTGCCGTTGTCAGGAATTCAGCTCGCGAGTCCCCGACGAGGACGAGTGTATCCTTCGAAGGACGGCGGACGCACGAGAAGAGTACCTATGCAACATCGCGGGATCTCACGATTTCACGACAGTTCCTTTTTTTCGGAGCGGCCGAAAAAGCAACAAAGTCAACGTAATTGGAACCGCGTCCTCCTGATTCGACACTCGTATCGATGTAGCTGCGGTTGGATCGCGGAAGATTTAATTTTCGATAAGTCGAAACGCTTATAACAAGCATATTTAAAACCTGAAACTTTGTGTGTTCGATATAAAAATCTGTACATTATTTTCTTTAAATGTGTGTATTTTTTTTTATAGATTTTATTATATATTATCCACTTTTCTTTTTATTCTTGCCTGCTTCTTCAGAGTTCTCCATCAACATTTGTGCTCATGTGTATGTGCATGTGTATGGTAATCCTTTTTAGATTTAAATTATCTTAAAAAAGAGATAAATTATACGTTACGTGTAAATTTTATTTTATTCTTTTACGACGGCAAAGTCTTTTTATTTGCAGAATCTTAATCTCCATCGTTTTCAGCTTGTTGTATTTAAATGGAGGGCACGTTCTTCTATCTTTTATCTTTCGCGGGCGCCTCACATCCAGGCATTCCCTGGCTTTAAAATTATTTACATCGCCGGAAGGAGTGCATCCCCAGGGTTCGTTGCTTTAAATCCGCCGCTATTTATGGCGGGGACGTCTACGACGAATTCCCGCCTCTATCCGCCAAGCTTCGAGGATACAAGAACTTCTTTTATCTCGAGATCTCGAAAACTTAAACTCGAGCATGCCATATCGAGATCGGGGGATCGGCCTTAACTAACGATCTATGAATGAACCATCGTCGCGCCATCGTCCGACAACGAGGAACCCGTTCCTTCGTTGGCGCCGAAACGAGCGGACCATAACTTTCGACGCGTCTTTTTACGGATACTTGGAGGTCGCGCGCACGAACCATTTAATTAACTTCCCGGTAGTGAAAGTAGTTTATTCGGATATTATCTGCCTCCGTCACATTTATACACTTTACACAGTTGCTCAGAGATATTGATATTTAAATATCACGACTCAAAAATCTGTTTCCCGCCCTTCCCCCTCTCCCCATCTCATCAATACCGTGAATATATTGATGAATAAAGTTTATAAATACTGAGAAAGTACGACTCTCTTTCCCCAACTGCATTCCACTAACACTAAATCTCTGTGACGCAATTTCGACTGGTCGTTGAACTTGAACGCACCCGAGAGCATGCTATCTTAATGATTTCTAGCGACGTCGCGCGACAATTATTCATTCCGAATAGATAATCACGATCTCCCAAGACATCTGACACGCATATCGGAGACTACAATCGTTCCGCCAATTCGTAGAAAAGATCAAAATTTGCATTCAGGATCAGCTCTCTCTTCTGTTGGCCGTTCTACTCCCACCACGCGATAATTCTTCGGCGATGTAAATAAATTCAACCAAATGAGGTTTCTCGGAACTCGGAATAAAAGACGGGAGATCGGAGAGATTTTGCGTGAGAATGAAAGGGGGGCGAGGGGTTGCGTTGAGGAGCGAAGAAAAAGATCCTCCTGCGAACCGAACGCGTTCATAGGAACGACGGGAGGGATACGGGGGAAGTCGTGAAATAGGAGGAAAAGGAAGAAAGGACGGAGGAGAAAATGAGGTGACGCAAATAAATTCAACCAAATGAATTATGACCAAGTAAACTCCGTCATTTTTTTTCAGAAAAATTATTTTTAGCGACTTTTTGAATATCTGAATTATTTTACTTGCCGATTAAATTGGAAAGATTCGGATATCTCTGTTTCCTTGTACTGTTTTAGGAATCATGGGGACGATACGACGGCTGTCCACGACGATGCTGTTGTTAATGATGCATTCCGCTCAGCTCGATGCTCATCGTGAACACAAGGTTCGTCTTTGATTGTTAATGAAACCTCCTAAAGTTAATAAATTTCTTTCAATTGTATTTTCTTTAACTAAAATTTTTATGAAAGAAAAATTTTATATATACATATATTATTTAATTCTTTGTATTAGTAAGCAAGATACAGGTATATATCATTTCGATCCTTTTCCATATCTTTATCAATAAATATGCAACGTTAATAATTTTAAAAATTATAATTGATAAATTATGTATAATATAATAACGCATATTCTTCAGCCAGTATAAATTTAAATAAATAGATATATTATTTAAAACTGATCCTATAATAACAATCTTCAGGTTCACAACATCGTGCTGTATCCAGATAAGCATAGCTGGTGTAAGACAACGCCGATAAAGCAAGTGGTGACATGGCCTCAGTGCTCTTCGCAGGAATTGGACAATAACGTATGCGTCGGCGCTTGTTTCTCATACATGGTCCCTCATAGCGAGCCGTCCGCACCCGGTGATCTCATAAGACCTTACTGCGATTCTTGTCAACCTCTGGACAGCGTTTGGCACACTGTGGGTATATAAACACAGGATATTAAAATATGATTGATAATATGATTGTGATAAAATTTTATCTTCTTTGGAAATTGCATTACGTTATGCTTGTTTTTTAGATTTTGCAATCAATGATTTATATGTAAAAAAGATTATCAAGTTAATTAAAAAAAAAACTTAACGCTATCATTTCTCTTTAATCTAATAATAATATTCTTAAGCACTTGATTAAGCCGCGCGTAATAAAGTTGCGCTCTATCACGTAATATATTTCTACAAGTATATGCGATTGATAACACAGTTATTAATCATTTATCAAATTATATATGTATCTTATAAGTTTGATAACAAATTTATTCAAAGATGTACAAAATAGCAAGATTTTAAAAGTGTTAAAAAATTATTTTTTGATACTTCTTTAATTTTCTTATCGAGGATTATTTTGTATCATTCTTTTAGGTTACACTAGATTGCAAGGACGAGCAGAAAAATCCAGTGACCATGCAGAAGAAGGTGCAGATTATCACAAACTGCTCCTGCAGCTCCTGCATGGAAACCTCGAAAATCAAACCGGACTACAACACTTTGCTGCAGTCCCTGACGGAAGAGAACCTGGACAAGAACGTGAACGTAGCGCACGAAACACCAGATTTGCTACTGGATCCGAATTTGAATGCCTCGAAGAACACGACGAGAGATGGAGCTCAGACTAACGAACGATTCCTTCAACTTTTCAAGAAACTGAAAGAGTCGCAGAAACTGGACGAATCCGGTTTGAAGGAATTCTCCAAGTTCGAGGAGGAGGAGATTGATTTGGAGAAGCTGCGGGAGCTGTTCAAAAAGTATAGCGAGGGAGACGAAGAGGAAGGCCAGCACGAGCATCATCATCAGCACCAGCATGAGCATCAGCATCAGCATCAACATCAGCAGCAACCGCAACAGCACCTACATCGCGGACCCCATCATTCTCTGGTGCTAGACTCGGACGTGAAGGAGAAGATCGACGTGGAGCCGCATTATCTGCATCCCGCCGTCGCCGGTCAAGAGATCAGTTATCACGACAACATCCTGGTAGGCAAGGAGAAGAAGAAGAAAGATTTCTAAACGCTTGCCGAAGCGTGATTTGTCGTCGAACGGATGTCACCTTTGTTCGCCATGCTCGAAAAATTCGTAGAAGTGAGTCGAGATCCTTATAAAAAGCGTTTGTCG